CCTCTGAGGTATGCTAGTCTCGCGAGTTTGTTTATAGGAGCAAAGGAAGCAAAGTTTCCTTACTTTAGCAAAGGAAAACCAGTCTCCTCTTGGCTTATATCGAAATCCTCCGATATTCTTCTTTACAAATCCTCGTTTTGTACTTCTAATTCGTGACCATTGTTTTGTTTTGATCTCTCCCCTGCGCTTCCGCGTGCTTCACTTCTGAGCGGCGCATGCGCAAAGCTGACCTCCATACGCCATCCGCCCGGAACTGCATCCGTATACAACAGTGAGCACAAGCTAGATTAAAGTGATTATTACGTTTTGAATATGGATATTTTTCTTACAAAAACGCATCGATTCGCTACAGAAGGACTTTGTTCACCCCCCAGAGCCGTGTGAGACACTGTTTTTTATGGATGGGTGCTTTTTATTTAACTTCTTTTGGACTGATGCACTGCAACACCCGCTGAGTGCCATTAAACAGCTTGAAAGATCAAAGACAATTTTTAATATAACTCCGACTGGATTCGTCTGAAAGAAGAAAGCCATATACACCTAGGATGACTTGAGGGTGAGTCATTTATGGGCTAATTTTCATTTTTGGGTGAACTAACCCTTTAACATCTTGTCAAGTAAAAAGCTGTGTGTTTGTAAGAAACAAATTCATTATTAAGGTGTTTTTAGCTTTAAACTGTCACTTCTGGCTGAAATGATAGTCCATTGTCCATAATTACGCTTCTTTCAGTAAAAAAGTCCATCCTCTGTTGTCCTCTCACATCAAAATCCACCAATATATTAGTTTAGAATTGTTTAGGACTGTTTTCACTTGTAAACGGTGCTTGATCTGTGCATTATTTCTCTCCTGATTTAAGACGAGGCTACTTTTTCTCTAGAGAAATGAATAGAGGACTCTATTCATAAAGGACTCTTAAAAACATGGATAGAGGACTCTTAAAAACATCTTAATAAGGAATTTGTTTCTTACAACACACAGCTTTTCAAGACATTCAATGATTAACTGGATTACTTGTGGATTATTGTGATGTTTTTATCAGCTGTTTGGACTCTCATTCTGACGCCACCCATTCACTGCAGATGATCCATTGGAGAGCAAATTATTTAATGTTAAATGTCTCCAGATCTGTTCCGATGAAGAAACAAACTCATCTACATCTTCATTTTTGGGTGAACTAACCCTTTAACATCTTGTGAAGTAAAAAGCTGTGTGTTTGTAAGAAACAAATTCATTATTAAGGTGTTTTTAGCTTTAAACTGTCACTTCTGGCTGAAATGATAGTCCATTGTCCATAATTACGCTTCTTTCAGTAAAAAAGTCCATCCTCTGTTGTCCTCTCACATCAAAATCCACCAATATATTAGTTTAGAATTGTTTAGGACTGTTTTCACTTGTAAACGGTGCTTGATCTGTGCATTATTTCTCTCCTGATTTAAGACGAGGCTACTTTTTCTCTAGAGAAATGAATAGAGGACTCTATTCATAAAGGACTCTTAAAAACATGGATAGAGGACTCTTAAAAACATCTTAATAAGGAATTTGTTTCTTACAACACACAGCTTTTCAAGACATTCAATGATTAACTGGATTACTTGTGGATTATTGTGATGTTTTTATCAGCTGTTTGGACTCTCATTCTGACGCCACCCATTCACTGCAGATGATCCATTGGAGAGCAAATTATTTAATGTTAAATGTCTCCAGATCTGTTCCGATGAAGAAACAAACTCATCTACATCTTGGATGGCAAATTTAAATTTTTGGGTTAATTATTCCTTTAAAGGGGTCATATGATGCGATTTCAAGTTTTCCTTTCTCTTTGGTGTGCTACAAGCTGTTTGTGAATAGATAAGATCCCTAAAGTTGCAAAAACTAAAGTCTCAAACTCAAAGAGATATTCTTAATAAAAGTTAACACTCGTCCACGCCCTCCTAAAACGCCTCGTTTAAACACGCGCCCACATGTCTACGTCACTGTATGGGAAAATTTGCATAACACTGCCCAAATGTTCACGCAAAGAAAGAAGGCATAACTTTGATTCTCGCTGTAGTATTGTGTTCACGCAAAGAAAGAAGGCATAACTTTGATTCTCGCTGTAGTATTGTTGTTGCCGCAGCCATGTCATGGAGACGCTGTGTTTCGTTGTGAAAGCGAAACTACTTTGTTTGGCCTTCCAAAAGAGGACACAACTAGAAATCAGTGGTTAAGTTGTATTTACAAAACTGTTCCAGAACAGTTAAAACCAAATATTCGTGTGTGTGCAACGCATTTTACGGAGGATGAGGACCGTTTCCTGGGAGAGTAGCCTACAATGCCGGTGTTCTGACTAATAATGCTGACTCCCAGCCTGTAAGTACGTTTTCATATTTAAAAGATTTGCCACTGATGATTCAAACGCGAGTTTTGAGCAGTGTAGAGTAGCGCTTGTTGTTTGTCATTTCTCCGATCACAAATGCAGACATGGTTTTATGTTTACGCAGATCAATGCAACGCAACACATAAAAAGACAGTATAAGTCATTATGATCCATATTTATGTCCCCACTGGATGCAACAAATGCCTCGTTTATAATAGGTTTTATTGGTTTTGTCTCGTCGCGCCAGGACACGGCATCACAATGTGTTTTTTGAAGCTTAAACCACATAAACACATTTCATTACACCAAATACACAAAATAATGTTCTTTTTTAGCAATGTCATATGACCCCTTTAATCAATCCAGTAGCTGTATCAAAGTTTTGAGAAACATATGGATTGTGTTGTTAAAGTCAATTATATCAGCCTATGAACCTCAATGAGATCCTGATGTTTTTTTTAAAAGGCTATAGAAATCGGACTGTAATCTTCATGAGGTATCTTGCCTGAATGTGAGGACTGGGTCACATGCTGTTCCTCCTGATGCTCTGATGTCTGTATGCCTTCTGCTCTTCTGCCCTCACCCGTCTGATAATGACTCACAAACACGCCTACAAACAAAACCCAAGATACAGTCATGTTTTTCAGCAGGAGAGCACATGAAAAGAGGAATATATGTTTCCTTGACTGATGTAGAAAGACAGAGAGGAGAAAGAATACACAAAATGGACCAATATGTCAAAAAGTGATGTTACGGTGCGAGAAAACTATGCCAGTATATTTAGAAGATATCAGTCTTCGAGCTCAGCCTCCCACCTCAGCTTGCACTTTAAAAAAAAAAAAGTTTGACAGATGTATATCAGTGGTGTATATGGTTACATCTAATTTTGTGATATCACTACAATGGAGAGTTTTCAGGTGAGATGGAGCACTTCTAAAAGAGTATATATATATATACAGTGGGTACGGAAAGTATTCAGACCCCCTTAAATTTTTCACTCTTTGTTTTTATTTCAGCTGGTTTCTGAAGCAACATTTCTCATTTTCATTTAGTTTAACTTGATGTAAAATAACTAAAACTGTAATACATAAAAAAATTTTAAAAAAAAAAATATATATATATATATACCATATAGGCATATTTAAAATGCAACCAGAAAATCAAAAAAATATATAATGTAGTTTAAAATATGTACAAAGACTATTTTCTCAATGATACTAATAACACTGCAATAGTAAAAAAAATATATATATATATATATATTTAGAACCAGATTATGTAGTTACAGCAATTATCATGCCAGCATGAATCATATTTTGATATCATAAAAATATATAGCTGATATACTTATACTTTCTTATATGATACTTACTTGTATATATAAACCATGTACACTTATTCCAGTAATTTCAGTAGCCTAATAAAAGCTGTTTATTTTCAACACAGTCACATGAAAGTTTTGTGGGGGAAAAAACATAACTAGTAATTAATTTTGAATAATTATGCCTATTTATTCCCTGGTGTGTACAGTATAATAAATAAATAAATGTGTGTGTTTATATATATAAGACATGGCCCATTTTTCTAAATGTCAAAATAAACAGCCATCATTGTAGTTTTGAAAAAATATTATAAATATAAAAGACATATTTGCAAAATCACGTACACACACGCGAGATTCCAATCATTTCAGTAGCCTAATAAAAGCTGTTTAAGGTCACCTCAAGGGAGCAGCCATGTTCGATCACATGACCAGCTGAATATTAACCAATTACCAATTTATTTATTGTCTACTTTCACTTCTGAAATTAATTATTTTGGATGGTGGGTTCTGTTTATTCCCAGGTTTAAAAAAAAGAATTCATATTTTATATGTGGTCTCAGACTTTTGGACCCAGTATATGCAAAGAGTGGAATTTTTGGTGGAAAAGAAACAGTCCTGGGCTGCTTTTTTACTCACCTGGGACAAAGAGGTATAAGAAGGGTGATGACATCACCAGTTTGGTGGTGCAGGCATTGAAGTGCCGATAGGGAGGGGTTAAAACACAGCTCGATTAGTCCCAGACGCAGAGCTGACCAAAGACCACCTGATTAGAACCAGCGACCCGCTGGCATGCACAATAAGAGCTAATCAGAGGAGTTGAAGGAACCTAAAAGGGAACACATGAGCACATATGTAGGTAAGGAGCAGTGTGTGAGCTGTACAACATCACTGTAGACCAAGAGAGACGGTGATAAAATCCTGAGCCCTGAGTCACTGATCACTGGGCGGCTTCTGAATATGAGTCAAAACGGGACCTCTAATCAAAATTCAAAGTTAGGTGAAATTCCAAATTGAAGAATTTCAGTAGATTTGTCATCATTTGAATTGGTTGCACCCACAGAATACTGACCTGGAATTTAAATCAGAATGACATGAAAGAATAATTTCAAAGAAATTCAACACAGTCAATATTTTGAGACAAAATATAAATAGGCATTCATTTTGAATTTTCTATTAATTCTCTGGTGTGTAGAATACATTTTTGAACTAATTAGGCATGGCCTATTTTTCTAAATGTCAAAACAATGAACACAAATATATATATATATATATATATATATATATAAAGAAATTATATTTTACACGCAGATAGATAGATAGATAGATAGATAGATAATCTTGAAATTTCATTCAATTTTAATATTACTGTCTAAATTTAAATTCTGTAACTGAACTGAAATGTAAAAAAGGTATTTGCATTTAAATTCTGAACGGCACACAGCACTGTCATAATGATGTTGCAACACGGGCAACTTAAAGTTAAAGAAATGTACAATATGTTTGTTTATTTTTTGTTTGTTTTTTCATTTGCTCCATAGCTGTTCAACTGCAGAATCCAAGCATCTGTTTTGTGTGATGACCAGTCTGTCTGTCTGTGTGTGTGTGTGTGTGTGTGTTTGGAGGGTGTAGGTGATGTGTTCATGATCTGCGTTTCTGATGCATGTGTTTGTGATGTGTTGTTTCTAAGGGAGTGTGTTAAAGGCTGGGTTATGATACTGACCAGCCATGAGAACTGAGTGCAGGTATGTGTACTTCAACAAAAGCCAGAACAGTCAACTGACAGAAAGAAAAAGGAAAAAATTTTCTAACCACAATCTTACTGATTTCTTTCAGAGAAAGAAAGAGTTAGTAATTTTAAATGTAAAAGGTATACATGTATATAGATAGATTTATTCAAGATACATACTAAGATGAGAGAAAGTAAATATTTTTCAATCGTCAAATTGTCTTATTTTGAGAAAAAAACATGATTAAAATAAAAATAAAAATTACAATTATGATTTTAATATATATATTAAAATCATAATTGAATTTTTTTTCTTTAGGTAAAGTAATTTTTGAAAATATATAATACTGTATAACATGTAATTATTATAATATATATAGAATATAGATTTGTTTATAGTTTATCTAAAAAAGTCTTATAAACTCTTAAATGTGTACTGCAACTAATTTGCTGTAGATGGGCAGGTTTATACCAAAAAAAAACAAAGGCACAATATGTAAGATTTTTTTATTAAAATATCCAAAAACCACTAAAACAGTGTTATATATTTTGCTGACTTGTGTACTTACATTATCCCAAATTTTCTGAAGAATGTTTCAATCCAGAGAAATAAGCAATTTTAACTAGTGACACGGGCCGTGTCCATAGTGTCATTGTGTCGCCTGCCAATGACGTCATAACCCCTCGATTTCCGGTTTTGTTTTGTAGAAAACATGGAAACACCAAAGACGCTTTAATATGTTGTGCGTTTTAATAGACAGGTGACGACTTCACAGAGTAGCATTATAACAGAACTTTCAAACGTATCTAGTATGATAAAACAGCGCTGCTTCCTTCCGCTACTTTCCGGAAGGAGCGGAAGCGGTCGACTGTGGCATAATAAAAGCGCCGCTGCTTTCGAGCCGTGTGTCACGCTCATTCAGCGGCCTCGTTTCGCTTCGACGGCTTTCAGCCTCACCCTGCTTCATTCTACTACGTTAATAAATCATTAGCTCATCCATGAACATGATTTCTGCCCGAGTCCCGTCGGATTGCATCGGCTGTGGGGATGAAGACCACAACTCCCATGATTCCACACTCAGTCACGGCGTCATCAAACTATGCCTTTGTTTTGAATACGCGCCCTCTAGCGGCAAAAAATTACATACAGTGGTGTGAAAAAGTTTTTGCCCCCTTCCTGTTTTTTTAATTGTTTGCATATTTGTCACACTTAAAAGATTCAGATCATCAAACTAATTTTAATATTACACAAGCCTTTAACAACAGCATAAATGTAGATTATTATAAATGTAGTCTGCTGCATAAATGTTACGATTATTAACACATAAATTGTTCTTGCAACTGCGTAGAACCGGACTTAGCTGAATCTGAATGGGTCTTGAACAAAGTAAAAAGAGCCTGCAGTTGAGACAGCACATTCAATACAAAAGACAGTTTCCCTGAATGAGTAGGTGGAGATTTACTTGAGTTCCTCACTGGTTACATCACAGCTTGTCTCTCGGGTGCCCGGTAAAACACTCTACGTGACAGAGATAGCTGGCTTGAGGAATCAGACACATTTATCAAGCCTAAGAAGACAGCAGCTCTGTAGCCGATGGGAGAGGCGGCCTGCTCCCGGCCACAGCGGCAGCTGCCATTGACAATTTTGTCACCTTCTGGAAGATGAATAGGTGAAAGGCTTTGAGGGATGAGAGGAGAAGAGACTGAGAACGTGTGAGTCCCAGTGGAGTTCTTGACAGTCCGTAATCTGCTCTTCACTAGGTCTGGCCGTCACCCTTCATCGTCTCAGATGGTGACTCCTGCCAAACTTTGTGTGAGAGCCTCACCGCCTCTGTCTCTCTTTCCTTCCCCCGGCCCTCTTTTCCTTCATCAACACACGACTTTCAGAATGAAACGTAACATGAGAAACTTTGAGAAAGATGTAAAGCTCCAACAAGAGGCTCATGCTGTGGTCAAGTCCTCCTGGGAAGTCATCGTAAGTGATGTTGGACAAAATAAAATGGGTTCGCCGGGCAATTTCATGTTTGTTTTTTTTCTCTTTTTCATTTCCAGGCAAAGACAGGATTTTAGCACTAACGAGCTAATAGAACTAATGCTTCAATTAGCTCATTAGCACTAATTGATTTATTGCAAGCTTCAAGTGGAGTCTGAAAGTAAAGTTGTACTCCACTCATATTTCTCAATAAATTCCTCAATAAATCTTGGGTCGGTGAAGGAGGTGTGTTTACATGAAAGATGGTGGAAAGCAACTCTACAGCAAATGATTTTGCGAAGTTTTCAGTCCTGTATTTCAATAATATTAATTTGTTAAAATACTTAATTATTTCATAGATACACACATTAATACGCACATTAATTAATCATATACGTTTTTTAAAACTAATAAAGGTGTATTTATGCTAATCCACTACCAGGTCTCCCTTTTTTTTATCAGCCAAATCCCTCTGACATAAAATATTTACTTGAAACACCCTCTGAGATTTAAAAGTAATTTTCAATCATTTAAAAACATTCAGGGTTGTTATAATACTAAAAAAATAATAATAATAATAATAATAAAAATGAAACTTTAATTAAAGCCATTTAAAATTAAAGCCATTCTTTACTTGAATTAAAATAAATATTACCTAAAATAAAAAATTATATAATTTTTGTTTAAACTATCTCATTTTGATGTACTAAAATAAAAAATAAAACAAATAAAAAATAATTAAACTAAAAAAACTATACACATATTAAAAAATGATAAAAACACACAACATTTTTAAAACGATAAAAATAAAATGGAAAATATAAAAACGAATTCGAAATATTAATAAAAACTATAAAAGTGTCTCGATACTAAATTGCAGTGCACAGTTTTCTGATGTTGGTTAATGATCACATCGCATGCAGATAAACTCATAAATGATTTAATCTTTTCTTTAGTTGTTTTTATTTCACAAATATTTATTATTATAATTATTTGACTTTATTATTTTTTATACTACCAAAGAAAAAAACAGCGTTAGCCATCATTTTGTAAATGTATTGTGTTTTAGATTTTTTTAATATGTTGTTTCTGACTTGGATGTAGGATCTCTCCAGGCAGACTTGAATGCTTTCTTATGCTGCCACTAAGAATCATGGGAACTGTAGTTTGGTCACACAAGCCTCCTCAGCTTCAGTTCAACTAAGTAAGTGGTATTTTCAGTCAAGCTTCGCCGTTGTTCATCAACAACACGCAAAATGCATACAAACTAAACCAACATTCACATCTCCAACTAAATTCTCACTCGGAAACCTCTAAAGCAAACAGAGATGACAGACAAGAATGCAGGTGCTCAAAGAAAGCCGTCCATCCCAGGAAACACAATAACCAGTTAGAGGTCGCTTGAGGACCCATCAGGCATTAATTGGGCTGTACTTTATTGTGTTTTTGCAGGAAAAGACCCTTCCGTCCAATCAAAGTGTTGAAAAGGTCCTTCAGGATTTGAGTGTGATGGGAATGGCAGAGGCTCTCCAGAGGTCTAAGCAGAATGATGAGCGGAAAAACGCTGTCCTTTCTGCCCACTGTACACCTCACAAGTGCATCCAATTAGAGTAATTGAAAAAGGGAGACATGTCCAATTAATTGTTTGTTCAGAGGAAGCAGAAATGGTGTAGAGTGGTTTGAGGCAGGTCGTAAGCAGAAAGAAAATGGGCAATTATTTACGTCTCACATGCCAGCACCTTTATCTGGCCATTCACTCTCAACAGGGTTTCCTGTAAATAAAAAATGGAATGGGCAAAAAGCAAGGGCTGGCGGGTGGGCGGTGGAGGGCAAAAACGGGACCGCTAAGAGAAAAAGGTGCTCGTGACGGGTGGCATTGAACCAGAACTTTGCATAATACCCCTTTAGGCAAAAGCGGCGAACTGACAGGGGCATCTGAACTGTGGACATGCCTAACTAGCCAATGGAGCCATTAGGAAGGCCTGGTGCGGAGTTTTGCCTTCACGTGTCAAATCATGCATGCTCGCTCATCTTTTCCTCACCAGACAACACATCAAAACCTTTCCCGTTCCATTCTCTGGACGCCGTGCACAGCAATTTATATTGATCACTCTGACAGTGTGATCAT